AAAAAAAAAAAAAGAACATACCAGGAGTGTTAATGCTGCTAAAAGTTATTTATTTATTTGAAGCAGTGTCTCACTCTGTCGCCCTGGATAGAGTGCCATGGTGTCACAGCTCACAGCAAGCTCAAACTCTTGAGCTCAAGAGATCCTCTTGCCTCAGCCTCCACAGTAGGTGTGACTACTGGCGCCCACCACAACACCAGGCTAGTTTTTTCTATTTTTAGTAGAGATGTGGTCTCCCTCTTGCTCAGATTGGTCTTGATCTACCTGGATTAAAAAATTTTAAGACATTATGTCAGGATAATTGTTGAATAGAATATTTTTTCCCATTCTTAATTTTCTTTCTTTCTTTTTTTTTTTTGTGAGACAGAGTCTCACTTTGTCACCTGTGATAGAGTGCTGTGGTGTCATAGCTCACAGTAACCTCAAAGTCTTGGTTTTAAGTTATTCTCTTGCCTCAGCCTCCCAAGTGGCTGGGACTACCAGGACCTGCCACAATGCCCAGCTATTTTTAGAGATGAGGTTTTGCTTTGGCTCAGGCTGGTCCCAAACATGTGAGCTTAGGCAATCCACTTTCCTAGGCCTCCCAGAGGGTTAGGATTACAGGAGTGAGCCACTATGCCCGGCCCTTTTCTTAATGTTCAACAATGCTAATGTGTCATCCATTTTTCCTTAATTTGTTTATTGTTTAAAAAAATGTATACCACTCCTGATGTAGATTACTAATAACCATATTTTTTTTTTATCTCTCTCCATTATCATTTTTGTATGTAGAAAGTATGCTTTTAATTTTGCTTGCTATTGTTTTATATTATTTATAATCTTTATCCACTTTATTTTGATGATTTGCTTAAAAAATGTTGAACTTCAGTTCTTAAAATTATTATACTTTTTAAGTGATCTGACATTTTATTTGATCTTGTTTTTTTCAGGACTAATAAATTTCTGGTGTTTGTATATCACATTGTATTTTCTGAAGAATTTAAATATGCAGGATATATTATATCTGTGTTGTATATTTATCCTATGATAATACATCTGTGGCCAATGGCAAGAGAGTTAAATGTGTCAACACTGATATCATTAAACTACTATTTTATATTTTTATATGTATTACAAGCAGCATTGAAGGTACTGTCTCAAATAGAAATGTATTCCATGGAAAAAAAATTCAGATATTTTGAATCCCTTTTTGTCATCACATTGAAATACCTTGATACCAGGAGCCATTTGCTATAATAGCTGATGAGATCATGGAATTTTAGTAAGCTTTTTGAATTTTCTGAGTTTAATAACAAAATCAGTATGATAGATCATGAAAGTAGAGAAAATCTCAAAGATCTCTTTAAAGGAGATTTGAAAATCCAGACATGGCTTGGTGCCTGTAGCTCAGCGGCTAAGCTGTCAGCCACATATACCGGGGCTGGCAGGTTTGAACTCAGCCTGGGGCCCTGCCAAACAACAATGACAACTACCAGGACTACCACTGCCACAGAAAAAACACCAGGCTAGTTTTTTCTATTTGTAGTAGAGATGGGGTCTCCCTCTTGCTCAAATTGGTCTTGATCTGCCTGGGTCTTTCTGTAATGATGCAAGAAATAAGTGAATAAAAACAAATAGGTTTGCTAGGTCGTTGGTCATTGTCATGATGTGAGAACTACTTCTTAGGATAAACACTTCGAAGATGACTCATAGCATTATTCTTTCCACGTTTTAGTGTTAATAGTATTGAAATGAACCTCTTTATTGTGATTTTTTTAATGCTTGTTTTTGGCATTCCGACTTCACTATAGATTATACATTTTTAACCAAATGATAATTTTTGATGTTGGAGATTAAAAAGAATTTGGGGGTGCTTCCAAGGGAATACATTAAAGCTCAACTTTTGGAATATAGCTTATTTGTAATTGAGGACTTAATTTCATCAAGTTCCCCTCCACCTCACTGTATAGGTGCTATGAAATGACATATAACCTATATTTTTTTCCCCAAACAGATAATAATTTTGAAAAGGAAATATTTTCAACACCGCTGGAATACTTTGGAGTTTTTAATTATGACGATTGGAATCATTGATGTCTTTTGCATATACTTTGTCAGATTGAGGCCAGACAACTTGCTTCTTATTCAGTTTACAGTAGTAATGGGGTATTTTAGAATAATTAGATTTCTTCCTTTGTTCAAGGTAAGACTTCACATTTTAAAATATTAGGGTTACTTTTCTGCATTGTTTGCTAAAAGGAAACCTCCTTGTTCCGAAGGAAAAGAGGGAAGGAGTTCTTTTTCTGGAATAGAAATAGGACAGAACGCTCCCATGTCCTCTCATGTGGGCCTGTAGTTGCTCTTATACTAGTTTCAAATTAGTATTGAGTGCATGGGATGCTTGTTTTTCCATTCTTGAGATACTCTACTAAGGACAATGTTTTCCAAATCCATCCAGGTAAATACAAAAGATGTAAAATCTCCACCTTTTCATGGCTGAGTAGTATTCCGTGGTATACACATACCACAGATGATTAATCCATTCATGGGTTGATAAGCACATGGGTTGTTTCCACATCTTTGAGATTGTAAACTGAACTGCTGTGAACATTTATGTGTAAATGTCCTTATGGTAAAATGATTTTTTTTCTTCTGGGTAGATACCTAGAAATGGGATTGTGGGATCAAATAGAAGGTCTACTTTAAGGTCTTTGGGGATTCTCCATATTCCTGAATAAATCCTCTTTAAACACCTCTCCCTTTGCCTACCATTTTGCAAGGAGACATGACAGTTAACCAATGTCTCCCCTCTCTGCCCTTGTAATTCCTTCAGTAAGTGCCATCTTCCTTTTCACTTTTTTCTGCCTCATAACCTAGTCCCTCACCATCTGCCTCTGTACACAGCTTTTACTCTGTATGATTCGCTGCATGGCTTTTGAGGAGCAGCGTCACTAGAATTCCTTAAACATTATTCTCCTCACCTCACATGTGAGGAAACTAAGTCATCAAAGACACTAAGTAACTTGTGCAAGGTCCCAGAGCTGGTGAATAGGAGAGCTGGGATTTGAACCCAGGGAGGTTTATATTTAAAATCTTGTTCTTTTAAGTTACTACACTACCTGCTTCCATTTATTAGATTAGAGAGATGGAGAGCTAAGCAGAATCTTAGCTACTTAAAGTTCCTTATCTTACAAGTGAAGAAACTAAAGTGTAGAGAGATGATTTATTCAGTTAGCAACTATTACCCAGGTTGCAGTATCACCTGAAATATGGGAATACAGAGAAAGAGGGGAAAGGCAGTGCTAGAGATGTCCCCCTAAAGCTAACAAAGTCAGTTATTCATTTAGCTTTGATTTCTTCAGGGAGTGGATCTCACACCTGAGCATAGAATCTCCTGGAGGATGAGTCAGAACACTGATTGCTGCCCCCCCCCAACTCCAGAGCTGATTTAGCAGATCTGGGGGTGGGGCCCAAGACTTTGCATTTCTAAGGCGTTTCTATGTGCTGCTGTCTAGAGAAGACACTTTGAGAACTTCTGCTTTAGAGGGTGATTTGTGTCATCAAATTTACAGGCTTCCCCCCTCTCATTATTCCAGGTAATAATACCAATGCTGGTAGAAGTTGTGGATGTACAGATCAAAAAGCGCCTCAACTTGATATATAGTATTACAAAAGGTTATGTCAAAAGTCAAGAAGATGCCAAACTTTTAGTGAAACAAGTTTCTAGCCGTGAATCAATATACCAGGTGAGAAACAAGCACTGGTCATGTGGGAGGAAAACCACAACACTTAGGTGCATTACTTTAAGAGCATTTCTACATGTATTTGGCCACACTGACAAATTCCAGTGGTTGAAGGGGATTTAATTGTTTGTTACATATAAGAGGTGCTGGGCCGAGCGCAGTGGCTCATACCTGTAATCCTAGCACTTGGGAAACAGAGGTAGGTGTATTGCCTGAGCTCACAGGTTCGAGACCAGCATGAGCCAGAGTGAGACTCCCGTCTCTAAACAATAGCCAGGCATTGTTGTGGGCACTTATGGTATCATACTAGAGAGACTGAGGCAACAGGATCACTTGAATCCAAGAGTTTGAGGTTGTTGTGAGCTAAGACACCATAGTACTCTACCAAGTGGGACTATGTCTCAAACAAACAAAAAATAAAAATAAAAAAGAAGTGCTTCAGGGGAGAGGAGTCTCTGATCTTTACTTTTCAGCTAATTATTTATTATCTTCATAACAGAAAATATATGATTTACATATGTACGTATTACAGTTACAGAGCTGAGAAGAGAGTCCCTCTGGCTTTGTAACACTCTAAAAGATAGGAAAAGGCTTTATGCCGGAGTTGAGACTTGAATGACGCTTCAAAGAAAGCTTAGGCCCTAAGTGGAGGGGAAAAAAGGAAAAGAGAACAAAGATTCGACAATGAAAACTTGGAATCCTGGTACTATGCAGTCGGTGAATAATGGTATTTATTTTTCAACATTCAAGACCTTCCTCATTGTCAGGCAGTATGCAATAAGTATCACATGGGAGCACGCAGATGGAGAGAATCACCGTCTAACCAAGCTCCCTCGTACCAGTCTGTGCACTCCAGGCTGCTCTCTGCAATTTAGTAATGTTCCTAAAAGGGCTATTTTACACTTCCTATGTACTTTCTGCTTAAGAATATTCAGTGGCTCTGCGTGGCCTAAAGGGTAAGGCCTTTGAATGTAAATATTACACTTAGGAGAGAACACAGAAAAAAAAATAGCAAAAAATAATCACCCACAATTTTACAACTTGAAAATAATATCAGAAAAAGAAGTAAAACTATCCATCCCAGCTCTTTACCACTACCCAGAGATCCCTAGTAACAATTCTTGTGTTAAATTCTCATTGCTTACCATAATTTTAATATGTACTTAGCGGTTTTTTTTTTTTTTTCCTTTTTGGTAGACACAAAGCCTTGCTATGTTGCCCATGCTGGTATTGCACTCCTGGGCCTTGAGCCATCCTCCCTCTTTGGCTTCCCAAAGTGCTGGGATTATAGTCATGAGCCATCATGCCTGGATAACACATGCATGCACTTAATTCTTGATTTGTTATCTATCAACAGTTTTTATTTTATCTGTCATGAAGCACAAGGAGATTAGAACATTCCTTTCCTTTAATCTTTTCTTTTCCTGCCTGTCTTGCAGAGCTATTATTCTTACAGGGAAAATGTTTATAACATTTACATTCTGTTTTGTAAGTATAATTAAGTCTTCATTCTTTTAAATAAGTGACTATAAATGGAATACAACTTTTAATTTGTTATGATTACATAAATATTTACCCTAGAACCTGTCACTTGATTCAGTTCATAACAAAGGAAATAAGACCAGATGTTATTATAAATTTGCTACTGGAAAGAGATTCTTTTAAATGAAACATTCAGGTCTTTTCCTTCATGGAGACAAAGGAGGCCCGTCTGTTGTCTATGGCAAACGTACCTTGCTCTGTAGACCTGTCTTTCTGTTGTTCTGTAAATCTACCTTTCTCTTCCTCACCTGTGGGGAGGTGGTTGTAGCTACCACCTTCGCACTGTAGCTGTTTATCTTGCTTCTTATTTCAGAATAAATGGATTTAGGCATTAAAAAAATAAATGAAGTGGCTTGGCGCCTGTGGCTCAAGTGGCTAAGGCGCCAGCCACATATACCTAAGGTGGCAGGTTTGAGTGCGGCCGGCCCCCCAGAACAATGATGGCTGCAACCAAAGAAATGGCTGGGCATTGTGGTGGTGGGAGCCTGTGGTCCCAGCTACTTGGGAGGCAGAGGCAGGAGGCTTGCTTGAGCCCAGGAGTTGGAGGTTGCTGTGAGCTGTGATGCCATGGCACTCTACCGAGGGGGGATAGCTTGAGGCTCTGTCTCAAAAAATAAAAAAATAAAATAAATAAACAAATGAAGCATTCAAATGGATTAAGG